GACGGACGTTCTGAATTCCTGGTCCAACGTTTACTGGAGAAAGTCAAATTTTACTTGTAGCAAAAGTTCAAACTGGGATTGGCGCGGCATGCTGTGCGCTTCTGAGTTCCCGTAGCACTGTAACGCTTCTGAGTTCCTGTAGCACGTTACTGAAGGTAGCAGCGGTGCCCTTTCCCTCCACTTTAAAGAGCCACCAACAACATTAGAACTAGGAATGCCTTCAAGCGTTCCTCACAAAACACTTGTTTTGAATGCAACACCATGCATCTGTGCTTATTGGGCCTTGAACAAATATGAATATGGGCTGCCCATATCAGTTGGCACGGGCTCCTTGTACTCGGTCCAATAGAAAGCACCAAATGGATCTCCTTCGTCGTTCACTCATGCCTCCTTGTGATCCAGCGACGAGTGATGAGGATCCGTATCACTCAGGGCCAAAATGTTTGACTTTTTGGGCCTTTGTTGCCAAAATTGGGGAATTTTGGGCCTTAAAGGGCCAACATTGGTGATATTTTGGCCCTGGGGCCAATTGGGAACTTCTGGGTTTGGGGCCAACTTGTGAAAGATTTTTGAGTCTTAGGGGCCAAAGATAGTGAATTCTTTTTTGGGCCTTTGGAGCCAAATTGGGAGGACAAATTTTTTTCGTTTCTGCATTACCTGTCTATTAGCATGCAAATTGACTAAAAGTCTTCTCCAAAGGTAGAAAAGACCTTAGGGAGGTGGTCCCTTTCTCCTATCAATTACGCTTAGGGGAATGGTTAGTTGATGGGATTTTCTATGGGCGCTGCATTAGACTTTGGGGACCGGAGGCTCCACGTTTTTGGTTTCGGGGCCATGATGGAGGAGATGTGCCTCTTTTGAGGAAAATTTGTGCGCATTATAAAGTGGCGCCCACCAATGCCCCTTTTGATCAAGCATGAGGTCAAAATTGGTATGTTCGGACGTCGTGTTGGAAAGGAACCTGTTTCGTTACCGACCAACAAGCTAAAGGCCAATGATTGTTAAGTAGGACTCAGAAGGCAGTTATGTGCCCTGATCGACGAATTTTTCAGAGGTCCATTCAGGCACTCAGACGGATGAGTCTGAGAGATGCGGGCTTTGTTTTTTTGCTATTAGCCTTTGGTTTCCTTGTTCAACCAGACCCAGGCTTGGGGATTTGCGCCTCTGCCCATGGTTCGGCAGATGGAGGATATGGGTTGCATGGCGGATTGTGCTGGCAAAGACCATCAGGAGCCTTGAACACGAAGCTCTTGAGGCTCGATGACTGGATCCGGTTCTTCCGAATTATTCCGCAGGTATTTCCTCCTTCTTCCCTCTTTTTTTTTTCTTTCCTTTTCTGGCTTTGCTTCTCTTTTGTAAGAGAAGGAATCCATTACTGTTGTTCAAGCCCCCAAAGTGGTTTGCCTGTTCCTAACTTTCTTCTAACACCCGTCTCAGTATCGTATTCGAAGGATTTGAATCACACACCTGCCTACTGATGCATGGACCCTCAATGGCTATGGTGGGTCCAAACGCTTTTCCGTCTTTGGTGCTGTGGTTATTTACTGGTATGAGCATTACCGCTTTATCCAGTTAGCTAATCCGCCATACCGGGTTACGCTTTTAGGCCTTGACACACTGTTACTTGGTACTTTTTGCGCTTCACGGCGTTTGTGAGGCAGAGTG